CGCTAGGAAGGTAAGAACCTTTCTAGTAGCAAGGATGCAACCCTCATCATGATGCTCTTGAAGTGTCACATGCAAAATACAATCTAGTTGGATTATGCCAAGGTGTCGCAACATTTGCAACTCGTGCTAGAAACTTCTAGCCACCCAAATCCAAAAGTCGGGGTTTCCTTCCTAACCACCCAACCAAAGATTCCTTTTTAGTCATGTCCCAATAATTTCCCAATTTAGATAGTATCCCAAAATGACATACTATTCCCATATCTTGGAAATCTTGTAATTTGAGCTACCTTGGTCGGGATAAGACGATCTCGGCATCGTTGGAAAGCTTTAAAATTCTCCCGAAAGATCAAGCATGTAGACCTGGAGAAAAAAATGTAGAGATGGTAAAAACCAACAGCTATTCATAAGGAGATATGCTCACGTAGATTATGCAAACACTAATGGCACGAGCACTCGGCAGGACATTAGGATGACATGCACTCAAATTGGCATGCATACAACAAGTTCCCCTTCAGACTAGTAGACTACATGCACACACACTCACACGCATGCAAACGTACATGCACACAAACATGCCTGAACTCATGACATTGCTACCCACACTAATATAATACCATGCCACACATCTTAGCACACTTCCAGTGTGTGCCCTCGTGAAGTCGTTTGGTAAGAATGTCAGGTGCCTGCTTGTTGGTCTTTATGTGGTGAAGCTAAAAAACGATCTCTTTTACCATTTGCCTCACCTGGTGCCACTTAATATTCATGTGCTTGTTCAGCCCATTTGGGATCCTTGCTGTCGAAGAAAAGTGGTGTAGGTCCCTCCTGTTCAGCTCCCATGTTCTCCTGCAGCTTCCTCAGGAGCACAATGTCCATGATGGCATGGTACATTGCCATTTAGACTACCTCCGTCGAAGATTGAGGATTCTCACTCTGCTTCTTGGACCTCCAACTCACTGGTCCTCCTCCGACCATGTAGAAAAAGCCGCCCACATATGAATAATCCTCCTCTCCCAAGGCCCACATAGTGTCCGTTAAGCATGACATAGGTTCCAAACATTATCCCATCTGCCCTAGGTTGCTTCAACTCGCCCGCAAGGGAAACACCAGCAGATGTCGTTGATCCAAGGCATTGCACCATGTGCTGTGCTAGCTCCAACTGCTTCTCGATGGGCGGCTGCACAACTCTGGCCAGCTGCCCCACTCCGAATGAAGCATCAGGTTGCGTGTGTACAGCAGCATACATCACACTCTTAATGCGTGACTTGTAATCGTTTTGCCACTCATCATCGATCACATCATCATCAAGCTGCCTTCTTCAGCTTGAAGCCTTCAGGAAATGGCGTCATCACAGTGCGACCCCCAGTCACACCAACGCTCCATCACACCAGAGATGCACCGTCAGCCACCACCTCTCAACATCTCTCTCAATTTGCAGCCCCAAGTAGTATGAAGCACCCCCCAGCATCCAGCTTGTGATTCCTCTCAATCTGCTCCATCAAAGATGAGAACAACAGTATGTCGTCGTCATACACCAACAGCAAGAGCCGCTGCTCCCCCTCTCCGAGCAGGAACAAGCTGTGGTCAGCTTGGGACATCTTGGAGCCTCCATCCAGCAGTATCTTTTCCTGCCTCCTTCTCAGTGTTACAGGCTTAGCGACAAGAGCGAAGATTTCCTTGAAGTCAATCTTCTCTTTCTGCTGAAACCCCTTGGCGACCAAGCGGCTCTTGAACTACTCCAATACACCATCAGCTTTATTTTTCACCTTGATGTCCCACTTGCTGCTGATCGGCCGTCGCCCCTCGGGTAACTCAACAAGCTCCCAAGTCTCATTCTCTATAAGGTAGTTGGTCCGCTCAGTGCCTCCTCCACTGTGGCTGGTTCTCTATGCAGAGGTGTGAAGGAACAGAAGATCTTCTCATCATCTCCCTCATCCGCCTGAGCTGTCATGGCACTTTGCTTGGGGCCCTCCAAACGGCTATACTTCAGCCTTGAAGGTGGTGCTGCCTCTCTCTTCTCATAGGTTGCTGTCTGTTGCCCATGTGGTGAAGCTCCACTCTACACACTCCTCTTTGTGACCTTGGCTGGTGCAGAAAGCTCAGGCATAGATGGTGAGGCCACACCTATCGATTCATCCTCCAGCCCCTCCTCCACAGCAAGACCAGCAACTTGCTGCTCACCACTGCCATTTCGATCAAAGGTTAGCTCTGACCCAGGGAGGTCATCAAGGTGGAATTGAACCTCCTTCAAAGCAACCCACTCAATCTCCTACAGACGCAAGCCAATATGCACCTGCTGCTATTGCTGCTAGTCCTTGTACATGACGTCTTCCACAAATTTGACGTCGCGGCTGACCAGCATCTTCTTGCTCTGAAGGTCCCACATCAGACAACCCTTTGAGTGCTCAACATTCTCAAGATGGACAACCCATACAGCAGCAACTTCCAGCTTGTGCCTCTGCTCCTTAGGCACCATCACAAGCCCCATGCAGCCCCACACCTAGCATGTCAATGTTTGGCTTCATATAAGCCAACGCTCGTACGGTACCTAGTGCTTGTCGCCAACATGAGCGAAGACCCTGTTCTTGACCGTGATCACATGGCGAAGAGCATCAGGCCATAATGTTTTGGGCATCCTAGCAGCCCCCAGCATAGTCGTAGCCGCCTCGTCGATGGTCCGGTTGGCACACTCGGCAATGCTATTCTGCTGCAGTATTCGGATGTCATTCTTTTTTAGCCATGTCGCAAAGTCAGCTCCAAAGAACTCACTACCATGATCACTCCTCAGCACCTTCACCAACCGCATCAACTGTCACAATACCATCGGCAACCAGTCCTCCTTGATTGTCCCTGCAGAGTCGCTTTTCTTGGAGAAGGGATAAGCCCATATGAATCGGCTCTATTCGTCCACCATGGTAAGAACGTATAGCGAACCCCCAATCTTCTCTATCCTCATAGGACCCACCAGGTCCATGTGCACTACCTCCAAAGGTGCCTTCTCAGATCCTTCGGCACGTGGAAGCGGGAACCGTGCGAACTTGTTTTGCATGCACGCCTTGCAGGTGCCACATGTGCGAGTCGGTGCAGTTGCAGGCCATGCACGCACTTGTCCTTGTGCATAAACTCCAATGTAGAAACAGCCACATGTGCGAGCCGCTGATGCCAAATCTCCCGAGTCGCATGGCCCGAGGTAGCCGACGCCTTCACCACCACGCTTCCAGTCAGCTCATCTCCTTGCACACCTTGTTGCTCTTCGTAGGTGACGCCCTCCTCTATTGTTGCCACGCTTGCTGCCTTGCCCAATTTCCACCAATGGAGGACATGGATATGTCACATGCGCTTGTGGACATCTCCCTTGCATTGCAGGTCCCAAATGAGGCGCTCGACGTTGTAGGCACAATAGCACTCCAAGCCAATCGTCTCAGAGTTCACACCTACATTTCCCAAAAGCAAGGTAGAAATCGGGTTCGTGCACAAGTCCGTCACCCATAAGGCTTAGTAACGCACTTACTCTTGGTACGAACCATAAGGCTAAGTAATGCTCTTACTCTTAGCACCAACCATAAGGCGAATTAACGCACTTCTTGTTGGAAATGTGGGGGGGGAGGGGGGGGGAATTGCCCCCCACACGAAGACCTCCCTTGACTCGGACCAAGGGAGGGTTTGTTCTTGGAAGGTTGGGGTGACAGCGGATTGTCCGCGTCGCCACTCAACCGAACTTCTCCCGGTTGGGTCTGAAATGTTGTGAGGGTGACACCTGGCAGCCCCACAAGCACAAACAAAGGTAGAGATAGTGTGCACGAATGTTTTTGAACAACTTGCTACACTTGTTACAATTTCGTGTAACACACACTTTTGGCGTGAAGATATGAACCCGGCAAAGTCCGAAATTATGAATGCGGACATCGTGGAAATTGGACGTAATCCTAAGTCCGAATGTCCGCCAAGTCGCGCGCGATTCAATGTTACAATTCTGCTTGCGTGTTTTGGCTATAAAACTAGAGAGCAAAAAGAGGGAGTTCATTCTTAACTCGTAGCTTGTACCCATCTTTAAATAAACAGCTATTGCTCTCACTTCATGGTCGATTTCAATGATCTCAAGTGCTACAGATTCTTTGCTCCGAGCCCATCGGATTGATTTTAGTCTTTGATTTCATTTCGCCAAGTTGACTTCGTGGCGTGAGTGAAACAGAAACGGTTTCTATGAGAGCTAGAATAACATCACCTACAAGCGAATGCTACGAGCAGCACGCGATCCAATTTGTTCAGCCACCCATTTCCCCATTTCCTTTTCCAAAAGCTCTTCAAACCCAATAAGTGAAGGCTCAGAGCGAAACAAACAAGAACCGGTTCGTTCAAGAAATAATGGTCAGGCCAAGTGCCGGCATGGCCAGTGGCCACATCCTGGTTCGACCCAAACTGGCTTTGGTTCGGGTCCAACCACTCTGGTTCGTTTGAGCACAAACCTAACCGGTTCTGGTTTGGTTCTTGATCTTGCCTACTGTCCAATCAGTTGCTCACCATCAAACGCGACTCTTCGAATATTGTGCAATTCAAACGCGCCACAAATAAACACACTTTGCACTTATTTTTGGCAAAGTCTAGAACTTAGCAAGTACCGAACCCTGTCCGGTTGGGGCTGCAATGGTTCGAACCAGCGACTTGACTTGAAGCTTCCAATATGAACTCGCAACCTCGTGTTGCTACCCATGTTGAAATCCATGCAGCCCTGAGGCGTGCCGTGCATAGACGCAGCTCGGTACCGAACCGGACGAGCCGGCCAAACCGGTCTGAGGCGAACGGTCGAAGCGGCAAGACTGCTTCACCTCGAACTGGGAAGCCAACGCCTCTCACTTTGTCCCCTGTTTAGTACTTAGCTCATGCCTAACAGACAAAACTCGCGAACTAGCCGGAAAAAAGGAAAGAAAGAAATAACGTCTTACATCAGAGCATGTTGAGAGGGACTTTCAGAAACATGGGAGAAGCACGCAAGCGGCACACACCTGTACTAAGGTCATCCCAAACACCAGGTAGCCGTAGGTGGCGTATGCCACGAAGACAATGAAGAAGAGAATGAAGAAGTGGAGCAGCGACGGCAGGGCTGCCCGGATGGAGCGGGTGATGATGCCCATGTTGGGCTGGAAGTCCATCAGCTTCAAGAGGCGCAGCACCATGATGAACACACTGGTGGTATGGCACGGTGACAGGCATCATGGGGAAAGGCAAAGATAAAAGCAATGACACAGATGGGAGAGAAGGCTTTTGTGGTCATGAAGTGATGGGGGACTGGGGTCACAAAGAAAGCACATTGTAGAGACCAGCGGAGCAAGGAAGATATGGGACAGGGTGGCGAGGGGAGAGAGGGGTGAGGGAGGAGAAGAGAGAGAGAGAGAGGTGAGATAGGGAAGAGGAGTCGCACACGAAAACTGAACCCGATCAATCCAACCCGATACGACCCGTTGCTCATGCCGAGACGCGATGGAGGCAGGGGCATGGGAGAGGAGAAGCGAGACTGACTTGATGCCCTGAAGGGCGAAGTAGACGGAGCAGAGGTTGGTGATGAAGCCAAGCGTGTCCACCGCTGACATGGCCGCCTGATAGCCCACGGGTGGGTTGGGCAGCGACCAGTAGCGCGGGTTGTCGTCGAGCGTGTAGTAGATGTCGTAGTGAGGCTGGATAGTGAACCCCTGTGCTCGCATCACCGCCACTGCTATCCTGTACGTGGGATGGTAGAGTAGAGAGGGTGAGAAAAATACAAAGAGTTTTCACTCCTCCACCGATGTAAGCAGTACGTGACTGAGGCACCACACTCAATCCACTCATCACAAAAATAATTCCCATCCCTTGCCACCCTCGCCGCCCCATGCCTTGCCACCCCAAGCGAGCGGACCAGATGGCGATGGCGGTGATCTGGAGAGCGATGGAGAGCCAGTCCACCCACGTCCACCCCTTGCTGGCGTAGTGCCAGAAGGAGCGGCGCTGCACCTTCCACGTCCACAGCATCTCCTTCACCTCCTCCACGATGCTCCACGCCACCGCCGCCACAAAGAGCAGCTCCAGCACGAGGCGCGCCACGTTGCTGCTCTCATTCATGTTGTAATACTCCACGTTCACCGGCTGCACCTGGAACACCGCCTCCATGCTGCCGCCCGACTGCACCGTCAGGCTGGCCTTGGTGGCCGTGAATAGATGCTCGTTCGCTGGGCGGCGGGAGGGAGGAAAGCACATAGGGAGAGGGTAAAGCAAGGCAAGGAAGAGCGAGTACAAAGTCAGGCGAGGGAGGGCGAGTGCACATGCAGGCGAGAGAGGGTGAGTGCAAAGGCAGGAGAGAGATGGTGAGTGGTTGGAACAACATGAAGGAGTTCCTTCTGTTGAACCTAGGCTCTTGCTGTGGTCCATTAGATTATAGCTAGTGATAAAAAAAAAAAAACAATAAGTGATTATCAGTTTTTGTAGACTCATCTGGTTGGGATCCACTTTGCCAACTCAGCATGGAAAAATGGGTGAATTTCATCCATCCTTTTCTTTCCTCTCTTCATCCCGTTTCTCTCGGTACTCAAAAAGGAGTGCCTTATCTTTACTCTGCACTCGAATTCTCGATTTGAAACCCTAACTTTGTGACACTTCCTTTCCGACCAGCAAGCAGTGTAACCCACACAGCCTGAGAGGCATTGAAGCTACAGACACAATAGACGGGCACAGTACCATTGCGGGTGATGAGCCCAACGTTGATGGAGCGGGTGTAGTTGTCGATGAAGAAGCCGTCCACCAAGTACTGCAGCCGCCGTGTTGCCCCCGCGTTATCCAGATTCACGTCAAACACGATCGGGAACCGCCCGCTGCCGGGCTGAGGACACGGTGGGGGTTGGGTAGGTTGAGAGTGCGAGGGAGTGCACAGACCAAGATAAACTTTGTGTTGAACATCAGGTAGGCATGACATGAGCATGAGCCGAACCTAAGCCGGGCCACGTTGAATTCACAAAAACCTGAAGCAAAAATTCCTGCTCTAGGTTGCTCCAATCAGGACTCTCACATAGGAGGGAAAGGAGAAACACTGAAATGGTTTCGGACAACACGTAGGAATAGAGAGGAGGGAGATGCAGCTGCCACCATACTGCCTGGAGTGCCATGAGGAGAGCTAAGGATCTTAAAAGAATATGAGCCTCGAGGGGGTGCGCAATCTGACTCGATATGGTACCATGGTAACTTGGATACATGCACTGTAGCAGGACGAAGTGCGCATGGGTGAAGGCAAGGTGTGACTGACGAGCTGCTGGAAGCCAAAGGGCAGCCCCTTGGCGTTGAGCTCAAAGGGGTTGGCGAAGGGCTGGTTGGTGAAGGCAGTGGTGTTGGTGACGGCGACATTGGGGTTGTAGAGCGAGGAGGACGGCAGGAACACCGGGTTCACCCCAAACGCACTCGCCGACTCCCCCCCCACACATGCGTCCTGGAAGTGGAACCTGCCGTGCCAGGGGGAGACAGGGGAGGGGAAGATGCAAGGGGAGGAAGGAGAGGAAAAGTGGACGTGCGTTTGCACACAAGCAGTGAGAAGTTTGAAAAAAATGTGCATGGGGCTGGGGAATACGCATATAGTCAGGCATGATTCTCTGACTGCTGAGGCTTTGTTTGGGGTGAGGAGGTTGACTGACCTGCTGTTGGCACAGCGGTCAGAGTTCCAGCGGTACTGCACGATGACCAGCCCCACGAGCACACTGGGGGGTGTGAGACACGCAAGTTACGCATGGTGCATGCAGGAAGGAACACAGCGCATGGCACAGAGAGCGAGGGGAGCCATGCTGGTAGAGCATTGTGGAGCACAGTGGAAAGGGCTGTCGTTGAAAGTTACTGGGTAGACAGCATTCAGAGAGGTGAAATGCAGAGAGGCAGTAGGGCAATGGCATGTGTTGTACTGGGAGACAGTGCGGCACCTGTTGTACTGGGAGACAGTGCGGCACCTGTTGTACTGGGAGACAGTGCGGCACCTGTTGTACTGGGAGACAGTGCGGCACCTGTTGTACTGGGAGACAGTGCGGCACCTGTTGTACTGGGAGACAGTGCGGCACCTGTTGTACTGGGAGACAGTGCGGCACCTGTTGTACTGGGAGACAGTGCGGCACCTGTTGTACTGGGAGACAGTGCGGCACCTGTTGTACTGGGAGACAGTGCGGCACCTGTTGTACTGGGAGACAGTGCGTGGCAGCAGAGAGGCATTGGTGGCGGGAGTGGCGTCGAGGGGATGCACAGTGGAGCCAAAGCGGCGCAGCCTGAAGGGCACCTTGATGGCCTCCCCAACTCCCGCCGCCTCACAGCACGCTGAGGAGCACCGTGGAGGTCAGAGGGGGAAGGGGGTGATGGGGAAGAGGGATGACGGGGAGGGGGAGGAGAGGAGGGGTGAACGGTGAGCTAAGGGCATACAGCTTCGCCATGGCATGTAAAACGGTGCGATGCATGGGAGTGGGGAGAGGTAGAAAGGGGGAGGATTGGTTAAGTCAGGAGTGCAGCAGGATTTAGGGAAGAGAGGTGAAACCAAGGTTAAAAAAAACGACCGTTTTTTTTAAATTTACCGTAAAAAACGGTATCGTAAAAAACGGTCGTAAAAAACGGTTTAAAACGGTTCCAGGAGGTATTCTCTGTTAAACTAACAAAACGGCCACTTAGTGGGACCAAATTGAACTTGAAATGCAGAAGCATGAAGGGGACGGACCCCTTCTTGCATGTGTGCGCTTGTTGGCATGATTGAAAATGTTTTTGACCTTGTTTTTCTCCTTTTCTTCTTGGGGAGCAGAGTTCTCTAACAAAAAAACGGCCGTTTTTTTGAAAAATCACCGTAAAAAACGACCGTAAAAAACGGACCGTATTTTACGAAAACCGTAATTTTGGTTTCACCGTGAAACCCTATACTCCAAACCCTGGTGGAGAGAAGAGGGGGGTGCAGCCACAAAGTGAAAGTGTCCCTGGAAGCAGAGTTCTGCATGGAAGCACACATAGCGATTGCATGAAAGCGCACAACAATGTTCATGAAAGCACACATTGCATGAAAGCACACATTGCATGACCCAGTTGCCCCACCCTCCCAGGCTTCAGTGTGAAGGGAGAATGGCTAGAGCGTAGAGAGACATGCGGACATTTGAGCGCTTACCTCCATCACCCCCCCGCGTTTGCAGCACTGGGCATTCACACCACTGCACATATCCACTAGCGCTGCCAGTGCTGCTGCCACCAGCCCCAGCAGCATGGGCAGTGGCGCAGGCACAGTCGCCCCCATCGAAGTCGCAAGGAGCCACGTTGCATGCGGGGTCGCAGCGGCCATTGGCCAGCATGGCCAGCGCACACGTGGGCGCACAGCTTGTGGCGAGCAGCTGCTCGTACGGCCGCACAGACGTGCTTGGTGGCGGCTCTGCTGGGGGGAGGGGGATGGGTGCAGGGGAGAGGGGGTTGGGGATGGAGAGGGCAGTGAATGAAGAGAGGCGAGGATGGGAAGGACATGTCGAGGGATGGCACGTTGCAGGGTTGGTTGCGGTACAAGCCCGTGATGGCAGTGCCTGCCTGCTGCCAGGCATGGGCGCACTGGCATGTGAGGGCGTGCGTGCATGCATGTGAGGGCGTGTGTGCATGCATGTGAGGGCGTGCGTGCATGCATGTGAGGGCGTGTGTGCATGCATGTGAGGGCGTGCGTTTATGCATGTGAGGGCGTGCGTGCATGCATGTGAGGGCGTGCGTGCATGCATGTGAGGGCGTGTGTGCATGCATGTGAGGGCGTGTGTGCATGCATGTGAGGGCGTGCGTTTATGCATGTGAGGGCGTGCGTGCATGCATGTGAGGGCGTGCGTGCATGCATGTGAGGGCCTTTGTGCATGCATGTGAGGGCGTGCGTGCATGCATGTGAGGGCGTGCGTGCATGCATGTGAGGGCGTGCGTGCATGCATGTGAGGGCGTGCGTGCATGCATGTGAGGGCGTGCGTGCATGCATGTGAGGGCGTGCGTGCATGCATGTGAGGGCGTGCGTGCATGCATGTGAGGGCGTGGCACCTGACTGGGGGGTGGCACCTGACTGGGGGGTGGCACCTGACTGGGGGGTGGAACCTGACTGGGGGGTGGCACCTGACTGGGGGATGGGCGCACCTGGTGTGGGGGTGGCGCGGAGGAGAGTGGAGGCGAGCGACTGCGGCGAGTCCTTGACGGTCATGTCCCGCGCCGTGCCAAACACCTTGGTGTACGTGAAATGCGCAGCTGATGTGTCGCCAGGCGACCCTGTGGGCAGGAGCGTGTGGGGGTATGAGGAAGATGCAGAGTCATACAGCACGCACTGACATCAGCAGAGAACATTATAGGGGCATGGGGAATGGAGGAGCGACACAAGGGTGCGCGCAGGAAACATGGGGGCATGAAGGACACATGGGGGCATGACGGATACATGGGGGCATGAAACACATGGGGGCGTGAAGGATACATGGGGGGATGAAAGTTGTCCCAAGGAGGATGATGGCAACAACACGGACGGAAGGCGTGGGTGCATTCCTCTCTGCTGATTCCCATCTCCTCTGGCTTCAAGGGAAACTTACTGGCTTAAACGCTGGAAATACTTCATGCTTGCGCGTGACCAATCCACGCATGCATGCCACGTCATCGCTACAGTGCACTCACGCAGCACGCATGGCGCAGGCTCATCCGTCGCATCTCCGGGCCCGATGTTGTCCCATGCACATGTGGCAAGCCGTGATAGGCCAAGTCGACCTGCTCCAAACCCAAGAAACGGCTCTGAGCTCACCGGTCCTGCAGTGGGGGAGTGCGGAAGGGAGGAAGTGAAGAAGTGCATGAGGGAGGAAGTGAAGAAGTGCAGGAGGGAGGAAGAGAAGAAGTGCAGGAGGGAGCAGTGGAGTGCAGGAAGCAGCAGTGAAAGAGTGAAGGAGGGAGGAAGTGAAGGAGTGTAGGATGGAGGAAGTGAAGGAGTGCAGGAGGGAGCAGCCCGAGAAGTCATGAATGTGAGGATGAGGCAACACTCAACTGGGTGTTACGACTTAGGTGCAAAATACGGCCGAAAATCTCCGGCGTAAAATACGCTGTCGTATTTTTCCGGTCTTTAAACGCCTAAATGCTGTCATTTTGACGTGGTGCAAAAATATGGTCGTATGTTATGCTCAATTTTTTTTTAACCAATAGCTGAACACGTATTTTTTCCAATCACCGTTCCTCGATCGAGTGTTTGCACATGGTTGCCGACATGGCCCCGATGAACCAGCCAAGAGGAAGACCACGGGGGTCAATCCGTGGGACTGTAGTGACGCTTGTTGTGCAGCAAGTATGTCCCAGGCGATAGATTCTCATCTTAGTCTTAGAGGTCGTGGGTTCAATTCTCAGCAGCTGCACTATCCCTTCTCATTATGCTCCACATTACATGTCCACACTCCACCACAGTGAAGTGTGGTCACAGTTGGCATTGCCACCTGTCCACTCATCCCACACTCACCTTGCTGACCTCTATGGTGTGCCATTTGCTGTCATGTGGGCTGTTGTTCCAGCCTGGCCCACATGTGCAACATGTGGCCTCAATTGCTAGCTTGGCAAGGTTGGCTAGCCTTGCCCTCAGCATTGAGGTGCTGCAGCTAGCTTCAAAAGTTCAGCCACATATATGTGGCTTCCCACTTCACTAGGAATTATCCTTGGACAAGGACCTTGCTCTACTCTTTAAGACTTGTACCATTTTCTTGCTAAGGATATTTCTTCTTCCTATCGTGCCCTAAGTTCACCGATCCATTTTCTTCAACACTGAAAGCGGGAAGGAGGACGATGAGGAGGATGAATAGTGTGAGGGGGAGGAGGAGGAGGAGGAGGAGGAGGAGGAGGAGGAGGAGGAGGAGGACGACGACGACGACGACTAAATGACTGCATTCTAGACATTTTGATAGCATTTCAATGCTTGTTTGCTGTCCTGGTCAGTAAAAGAATGGCTTTCGACTTTTTTTTTCCTCACAAAAATCTCTAACAAAAGAACGACCGAAATTCTGAAATCTGACCGTAACATACAACTGTAAAAAACGGGCCGTATTATACTCGCACCGTTTTTTTGCACCTTGGCAATGATGAAAAACGGTTGTGACTTGAGAAAGCAGCACAGGGTTGACTGGGGGAAAGCAGTGACTCACAATAGCATGCACGCAGCAATAGGTAGTTGATGGCATGTTGAGGTGGTTGATGGCATGTTGAGATGGAGTGTTGGTGCTCCCAACCATATCGATGGACATGAGGCCAATGGCCAGCCTCTGATCGCTTTGTCACAACCACGCCATCATGTTCACATGCCCAGCTTTTCAAACACGCCCCCCATTGGCGTGCAGCTCCTGGGAGAGTGGGAGGCTCGTGGCGAGCCTGGACCCGGTTCTGCTCGGGCCAGGTCAAATCAGGTCGACCCGGACGGGGTCAGCCTGAGGATTTTCAGCTACAGGCGCACCTCTGAGCTCGTGGTAATTGTCGTCATTCCACACCCACGTGACCCGCTGGCCATCCGCAATGGCACGGCGGGCGAAGGAGGTTGAGTCCCACAGCACTGTGAAGTCAGCTGCAAGGGGGGATGGGGGGAGGGGAGGAAAGAGAGAGGTAGGATCAGGGATAAAGGGAAGGAGGGAAGAGAAGTAGGGAAACAATATTGGGTGGGAACAAATCTAAGCGAAGTGAGTGAGTGATTGGGCGAGTGGAGAGTAACGATGCAGAGAGGGCCACACGAGAGGAGAGGAGAGCAGCGCGAGAAGAAAGGGGGTCATTGGCACGAGAGAAACCATATTGAGAGGCAGAGCATGGACGGGAGGTGGAGAAGAAGAGCATCAGCAGCAGAACAAAAGACCTGAGAAAAAGAGTCAACGAGCTGAGAGCGCAAAGGGCACCTTGGGGGCAGGAAGAAGCATCGGACATCATCTTAGGCATGCAGCAGACGGGTGGCAGCCTGGACGGCATTATCTGGCATCTTCTGCACGACTGACTGCAGTGCCATGATGAGGATTTGGATGAAGAGAGACTGCTGGGCGGCAGAGAAACGCCGAGATGGACTGCGGGCGGTGCAGGGGTGGGATGAGCGGGGGTCCAGGGGATTGGGGTGGGATGAGCGGGGGTCCAGGGAATTGGGGTGGGATGAGCGGGGGTCCAGGGGATTGGGGTGGGATGAGCAGGGGTCCAGGGGATTGGGCTGAGATGAGCAGGGGATTGGGGACAATGACAACAGAAGATGAAGGTGAGTCAGAGGACGCAATGGAGAGGAGGGGGGGAGGGAAGCGAGGAAAATGGGGAGAGTGTGCGTGAAAGGATAGAATAGCAACTGCCTGACCTTCTAAGCTGGAGACGAAGTGAGATCAGGTTTAGTATTTAAGCCTAGAGAAAGCAAAGACGAACCTTCTCTACCCCCCCTCAGTCACCCCCAACCCCCCTCTCAGCCCCCTCTCGGCCCCCTCTCAGTCCCCCTCTCAGCCCCCTCTCAGCCCACCATCGGCCCCCTCTCAGCCCACCATCAGCCCCCTCTCAGCCCACCATCAGCCCCCTCTCAGCCCACCATCAGCCCCCTCTCAGCCCACCATCAGCCCCCTCTCAGCGCCCAGTGAGCCCCCTCCCTCCCAGCCCTTCTCCAAGACCCCCTCTCAGACCCCCCTGTGAGCCCCGTACGTGCGGTGTGTCGCTCGAATGTAATCCACAAGCTCTGTCTGACCCTTCAACTGCCGCCCAGAGGAAGGTTGGGTGAAATTGCAGAGTGGGTTGTTGGCCACAGGGCCGCCAAAGAGTGTGCAGAGGAAAGCGACGAGGCGACTGCGAGAGGCGAGGGAGAGGCTCTTGGCCGGCGAGGACCACAGCAGCGACCCACCGCCACTGCCCATGCTGCTCCCCTGCTTGCTGCTGCTGCTGCTGCTGCTGCTGCTGCTGGTATCAGTGCCAGCACTGTTGCTGGCATTGGTGGCGCCACCGGTCGGCCCGGCCAAGCAGTTCTCCTTCACTGCGGTGCACAGCGCCCGCGCCACTGCCACCTGGCACGCCCTGATTCGCTCGTCATTGGTGGTCCCCAGGCTCTCCCAAACGAGCAGCTGGTCTCGCGTGATTGGCGGAGCGGCTGACGCTGCAGGGCAGGGCGGGTGCAGGGAGGGGCGGGTGCAGGGCAGGGGGGGTGCAGTGCAGGGAAGGGCGGGTGCAGGGAAGGGCGGGTGCAGGGAAGGGCGGGTGCAGGGAAGGGTGGGTGCAGGGCAGGGGGGGTGCAGGGAAGGGCGGTTGCAGGGATAGGCCAAGAGGAAGGCGATCTGAGAAAGAGACAGCAAGGCTGCGATCTGAGGTGAGGTGGCACCTGCGGGTGGAGAGGTGAATCTAGGGAGCAGCACAACGTGGGAGCAGCACAACGTGGGAGCAGCACAACGTGGATCGCGAGGCACAGTTGCGTCGATCTGGTCAATCCAATTTGAGTCGAACCCAAACCAATATATCAAATTCGGAAACGGCGGGTTTGAGGCGCCATTCAGTACTGTGCTCGTGCCTTCCTCAACTTGTTAAAAGATCGGCCTTTTCTGTGCCTCTATAGCAAGGCAAGAGAAGGAGAAAGTCAATCAACTTGAAAGATGGCCTGGGTGGAGGAGATGATGGGAAGAAAGTGGAGGTGCGAGGGGGAAGAGAGAGGACGGAAAAGCAGTGAAGCCTCAGGAAGGGGGAAGCAGGCACCTGGTGGCGATGGTGGCAGAGTGTGAGGCCCCTGTGGTGGCCAAACGCGGGTGCTGGGTGTGTTGGTGGGAGTGGTGGCAGTGGCAGAGACGTGTGCCCCCCCCACGGCATGCTGCTGCCTTGCTGGTTCGAGTGCCTCATGCTGCTGCGCCCACGTCTCCTGCAGCTGCTGCCTCACCTGCTGGTGGTGCTGCACGTGGCAGTGGCGAGCAGAGGAGAGGAGAGGTGGGGGCAGTGGCGAGCAGAGGAGAGAGGGGGAGGGGAGTGGGGGAGTGAAGAGCAGAGGAAAGAGCGCAGTAGCCAGGAGGGCAGCAGCAGAGTGTAAAGGCAGCAGTGGAGACAACAGAGATGGTTTTGAAACAGACAAGGCAAGAGGAACGCATTAGGAAACACAGCAAATACAGCATCAGCATCACTGCACACAGCTGCTGATTAGGCCTTACACGGGTGTTCCAAGAACAACACAGAAAGATCAACAGGCAGGTGTGTCATGTCATGTCATACGAGTTGGTTTTTGAGAATTCTCAAAAACCAACATGCAGGCAGTGCAGGCAGTGCAGGCAGTGCAGAGTGCAGTGCACGGACCTGGAGGACAGATGACATGAAGCTTTGCTGATTTGCATTATCGGGAATCGACGCAGAAAGAAGAAGACGGGAAGAAGACGGGCCTGCTTCTTCTGCTGCTGTGGTTGCGTGACCAGCAGCTTCTGAGAGGATGTCTGCACACGAGGCAATGGCAGAGGCAACACAGTATGACTCCTCCTGGGGGCTGCTTTTTAGAAAAGTCAGAAGGGAGATCTTTCCAGCTCACTGACGTCCTTAGGAGAGCTGGGAGTGGGAAATGATGGAGGGTAAGGGCTCAGACTATCTAAGGCGGAAAGGTGGAAAATAAATGTGGCACATCATTGCATTGCAGATAACATTACGGCAAGAGAGGAAGTTGTGGAAGGCCGTGAAATAGCAAAACATAAGCAATATGACCGGGGTCAGGAGGGTGAGAGGGCAGGAGGGTGACGAGGGCAGGAGGGTGGGGAAGGCAGGAGGGTGAGGAGGGCAGGAGGGTGAGGAGGGCAGGAGGGTCGGGATGGCAGAGGGGTGGGGGGAAGGACAGGATGGTGGAGGGCAGAAGGGTGGGGGGAAGGGCAGGAGGGTGGGGGGAAGGGCAGGAGGGTGGGGGAAAGGGCAGGAGGGTGGGGGAAAGGGCAGGAGGGTGGGGGAAAGGGCAGGAGGGTGGGGGAAAGGGCAGGAGGGTGAGCGGAAGGGCAGGAGGGTGAGCGGAAGGGCAGGAGGGTGAGCGGAAGGGCAGGAGGGTGAGCGGAAGGGCAGGAGGGTGAGCGGAAGGGCAGGAGGGTGAGCGGAAGGGCAGGAGGGTGAGCGGAAGGGCAGGAGGGTGAGCGGAAGGGCAGGAGGGTGAGCGGAAGGGCAGGAGAATCAGGAGAGCAGAAGGTGAGGAGGGCAACAGGGTGAGGAGGGCAACAGGGTGAGGAGGGCAGGAGGGTGGGGAGGGGGGGGGAGGTGGAGGGAAGGACGGGAGGGTAGGAAGGGCGGGAGGGTGGGAATGGAAGGAGGGTGGGGAGAGGGCGCACCAGTGCATGAGGGCGTCTGGACGAAGGGCTCGAAGAGAGGGAAGAGAGGGAAGAGAGGGAAGAGCAGGAAGAGCGGGAAGAGAGGGAAGAGAGGGAAGAGAGTGAAGAGAGGAAAGAGAGGGAAGAGAGGGAAGAGTGGGAAGAGGGAAGACAGGGCAGAGAGGGAAGAGAGGGAAGAGAGAGAATAGAGGGCGGAGAGGGAAGAGAGGGAAGAGAGGGAAGAGCAGGAAGAGTGGGAAGAGAGAGAAGAGCGGGAAGAGAGGGAAGAGAGTGAAGAGAGGAAAGAGAGGGAAGAGAGGGAAGAGTGGGAAGAGAGGGAAGAGAGGTAAGAGAGGTAACAGAGGGAAGAGAGGGAAGAGAGGGAAGTGAGGGAAGAGAGGGAAGTGAGGGAAGAGAGGGAAGAGAGAGAAGAGAGGGAAGAGAGTGAAGTCAAGAAACAGGACACCAGGGGAACAGTTAAGTCAGTATGCAGCAAGGGTCGACTATTCATGGAGTTGAATAGAGAGATGCTATAAGACATCAGGACAGGGAATGTCATGTACATGTAGTGATGGCAATGCTTCACACCTAGCTAGCCACATAGTGGCTCAACCACTCTTCACCAGGCAGCCAGTGCAGTGATGAGAAATCGCAGTGAACTGATCGCTGGATTTGAGAGACATCTCAAAGCAGACCCATCTATTAGGGAAGTGATGACACATGCAGTGAACCGCTAGTTGGGTTGGAATGATCGAGGTAAAAAGGAAGCACGGTTTTCTGTTGGCTCGTTACCACGTGACAGTTGAAATATTGTCCGCAGTGATTGCAGCGTACCAGGGAGCAGGAGACATTGTCAGGTGGGAGGAAGGAGGTGCGGGGCAGCATGGCGTTGCAGGCCTGGAAGCAGCTGCCCAGAGCCAACGAGGCCACCCGCATGGGCGGAGACGTAGCACCACCGCTGCTGCTAGCGCTGCTGCTGTTGGTGCATAGTTGTGGAAGGCAGAGAGTCCAGACTGCGCAAGTCTGGGACAAAGAGGAGAGGAGAGGATGGGATGGAGGCAGAGAAAGGATCAGGTGAAAGCAAGGTGGTGCAAGCAAGGTGGTGCAAGCAAGGTGGTGCGAGCTCAGTATCGTGCCCTGCCCTACCAGCGTGTGGATGAAGCACGGCAGGAATGAAAAATCACTTCACAGTCCACCCAACCACTCTGCAACACAGCCCATTACTCTCCCAATTTTACCCAATCACACACAGCACACCCAGTATTTCCACGGTACCCATCTGCACCACACTGCACGCCCTCCTTCCTAAAGAGCCGTTCCATTATACCTGTCTGCACCGCTGCAGACCGCTCTCGCTATCTGCCACACAGCCATCGATGAGAGCGAGCAGCACGTTAGCGCCCGTGCCATTGGACGGCCGCACCCTCCCCTTCCCGCCCGCCGAGGGGGCTGGCGCTGCAGAGGGCGAGGAGGCGGGGGCGCTGACACTAGAGGGGGGAGGCGCAGGAGTGGGTGAGGAGGGTGGTGCTGCTGATGCTGCTGCTGCAGCAGCTGGGTCGAGGGAAGCTGAAGGGAACTGTGGTCCATCGGAGGTGGTGGTGGGCTGTGACTCGTAGACGTACACGCTCACCCTGCCGTCAGGTGCAGTGAGTGAGACGAACCAGTCGTTGTCTGGCAGCTGCACCGTGAGCGCCTGCCAGCCTGCCACCTCCGTAAACAGCTGAGGACCCTCGAACCTGACGTGCGGGGAGAGCGGGTTATTAGGAGGACACCTCAATTTTCATGCACATACCACACAAAGGAGCGCAGGAATACACAAGTAAACTGTGGTAAAATTTGAAAGGTTCAAATCATATTCACTCATATATCACGCTGACACACTCAATCTCTCTCTCTCTCTCTCTCTCTCTCTCTCTCTCTCTCTCTCTCTCTCTCTCTCTCTCTCTCTCTCTCTCTCTCTCTCTCTCTCTCTCTCTCTCTCTCTCTCTCTCGAACGGTCCTTTGTATTAATATCATCGCGGTACAGACAAGGTACGTCAGCAAACACATGCAGCAGAGCGACTATATCAAACCCCTATCCCGTCACCTCTACCGCCGCCTCCCCCCCCCCTTCCGGCCCTAGTGGCCGGAGGGGTCTTCTACCAACTGGTATAGCTGGTCCTTGCTCAGTGGAGTGAACGGACCCTGCAGGCCAAGCACATCCGCGGTAAGTGCCTCGTGGGTCTTGTCCCTGAGGGCGTTGGCTTGGGCTCTCTGCAGGGTCACGCTCCAGCGCTGGCGGTACTCGGTGAGTAGTTTCGCCGCCTCCCTCGACTTCGGTGGGGCGTTGAACCGCCGCTTAGCCGCCAGCTCCGCGCAGCTGCGAAGGAAATCGAGGACTCCAGCTGAGGGGTACCCGTAGGTTTCCACGGCCATGGCGTAGAAGCCCACCCAAGGGCTCCTCCCGGCATACTTGGTCTCCTTCTTATCCGCTTGCATCCGGGTGCCTTGCGAGCGTACCCATCCTGGTGGGAGACGGGGTCCGTGACTGTGATGTCACATATCCACAATGCGCCGGTGTCGGGATGGCGGATAGAGATATCCGCTTTGAGGTTTTCGACCGGTGAGTATGCCGTTGTCTCCTTGTGCACCGTGAATCCCGCTTCAGCCGCTATCTTTGCGCACTCATCCCTCAAAGCATTGTGAGTGCTCTCTCTCTCTCTCTCTCTCTCTCTCTCTCTCTCTCTCTCTCTCTCTCTCTCTCTCTCTCTCTATCTCTCACTCTCTCTCTCTCTCTCTCTCTCTCTCTCTCTCTCTCTCTCTCTCTCTCTCTCTCTCTCTCGAACGGTCCTTGTATTAGTAGGGGAGGTACATGGGCTGACGCAAACACAGGCATACCAATCAAGCAAAAATATGCATCCTATCTAGATCCTAACCCTCCCAATCTCCCGCCCCCCTTCGTCCGGCCCTAGAGGTCGAACGGGGGCTCTATCAGCTGGTACAGCTGGCCCTCGCTAAGGGGGCAGATGGCCCCCGCATGCCCAGCTCATCCGCAGCCAGCGCCTCGTTGGTCTTGCAGCGGAGAGCGTTGGCCTGCGCCCTCTGGAAGCACACGCTCCAGCGCTGGCGGTACTCCGTCAGCAGCTTGGCGGCCTCGTAGGAGGAGGGAGCTGCGTTGAATCTCAGCTTAGCCGCCAGCTCCGCGCATTGCCGCAAAAAACGCCATCACCCCGGGCGAGGGGTACCCATAGGTTTCGACCGCTAGTGCGTGGAAGCCCACCCACGCGTTCCTGTGCGCATATTTTTGCTCTTTCCTGTCTGCTGCCGCCCTTGCAGCCCACCCCGGTGCTTTGTTGCAGTGCTTGTCCTGATGGGACACGGGGTCAGTTACTGTCACGTCGCACATCCAGACTTCTCCCGTCAGGGGATGGCGGATTGTGACGTCCGCCTTCAGGTTTTCAACGAGAGAATAAACGTATGTTTCCTTGTGCACCGTGAACCCCGCTTCTGCCGCTATCAGGGCTATCTCGTCCCAGAGAGCGTGGTGAGTAGCAATCCGCCCTCCCCCTTTCTCACAGCGCATGAGGTGGTTGGGGAGGCGGTCGTCTGGGAACTGTGTGCGGTAGCGGCAGTCGCAGCGCCTGGGGACAGGTAGGGGGAGGCCGAGGCGGAAGGCGGCGGCCGAGGAGAGCTGGGAGGGGCCCATTCTAAGCGAAGGTATGATGGGTAACGCTAGCAGCCAGTCTCCCGCTCCCGGGCCAAGCACCGACTGCATCCGCTGCGCGTGGCCAGAGAGGGGGTTGGGGCGCATCTCCCTTGCTTCGTTCATGACTCTCAGGAAGCGGCGTGTCTGAACCGCTAGCGCTAGCGACCGCTGCAGCTTGAGGCCCTGGGGGTTGGCTTTCCCTGCCTGAAGGATCTCCAGGGCCTCTGGGGGGAGGGCTGCCTCTGCTGCTGCAAGGCGCGCTGGCAGATCATGCGCAGAGCCAGGGGAGGGGTCCATTAGGGGGAGGAGGGCTGCCACATCTGGGTGTAGAGTGTCATTCAGGGAGTGCAGGAGGTGGGAGGTGCCGACCACCGACGCAAGGTAGGCATAACCCCCCTCAACCGCCGGGTTTGTAATACCGAGCCCGCCCAGTGTTACAGGCAGCGCCGCCTGTCTCCAGATTCGCCCTTTCTCCGCGTCACTTCTCGGGACCATAATGTGGGCTGCTTCCAGGAAGGTGAGTAGTAGCTGCTCCCCCCACGCCGACCACTCCTCCTCTGGTAGGGCCGTGAGGGGTGTAGTCCTGGCCAGGAAGGAGGCTCGCCGCCCCACGCAGCGAGTGAGTAGGAGCAGGCACAGCTGGGGGTCCATCTGTGACAGTAGCGGCAAAGGTTCCGCTGCAGCCGCCAGTCTCTCTCTTATCCTTGAGGCGCAGCCTGCAGGCGTCCCAATTGGGCTCCCAAGTACTCGCAGTCCATCTGCTGCGATGGGGAAGCCTGGTGGGAGGGTGGAGGGATCAACGGCAGTTGCGGACCAGGCCTCGCATTTCCCTAGGTTATGCTCAAGGCCAATGCGACGTAGCGCTGCTGTAAGGTGAGAAAACGCCTCGGTGCATGCTTCAGCCTTCCCCAGCAGTGTGATGTCGTCCGCGTAGGCCAGTATGACGACCCGAGGGTGAGCTGCGGTCGTTGCGACTAAGCAGGGGTGGATGCTTGCCGCAAAGAGGAGGGGACCGAGGGGGTCCCCCTGGCGGACGCCTCTGGCGCTTAGCAGTGGCGCCACGCCGAAGTCGTGGTCGAGATGGAGGGCAGAAGGGGCCCCGTAAGAGAGGCGAACGAGGGGCACTAAGTTCCCCAGAGCGTCGTTCTTGAGCCCCTCAAACACCGCCACCCTTTCCACCGCGTTGAAGGCATTGGCGAGGTCGATCTGCAGCGCCACCGAGCCCGGATTTTCTTCCAGGTATGTGCGCGCGGTATGAATAGCCGCCTCTATCCCTCCAGCCACCGCCCCATTCAGAAACAGCGCTGCCTTTGCTACGATGCACCACAGGCATTCGCCCACGGCAATCGGACGGGTCCCTCCTTGCGGCTTCGTGAAGGCGAGGAGTCGCGAGGCTGTGAGGAGTTCGGTTGCTTCCGTACTCAGTTTTCCTGCTAGTGCCGTGTTCGTAAGAGCTAGCAGATGCTCGAATATGTCGGCATTTCCCAGGGCGGCGTCTCGGATGTGTTCAAACGTTGTGCCCGAGGGCCCGGCCCCCACCCCGTTGGGCAGCTTGGCGATAATGCGCCTGAAGTCACGTGGCTCAATCCCAGGTGGGTTTTCGGAGGAGTAGGTGTGTATTCACTCGGGTAGAGCTTGATTGGCTTGCGGGTGTCTTGCCGTTAGGGCCGTGAGCACTTCGGGGGAGGCGGGTGAGACTGGGGTAGCTTGGAGGGATTGTAGGGCTTTGGCAAGGTTGCCACGCTTGGCTAGTCCCTCCGCTCTGGCCAATATGCCTTGTGTGTCAGGGGCGTGGCGTGGCTGGGCTGGGAGGGAGATCGCTTCGGCATCCTCATCGTACACGCCTGACCAAAGTCCCTGACGAAATCGGAGGAGCCGATTCATCATCGCGCTCCGGTCAGGCTGGCGAGCTGACGAGGTGCGGAGGAGGATTCGCGGGAGGTAAGTCAGTAACCTCCACCCAGCGGCAGAGTTGGGATTGGCTGCCAGGTGGAGGAGTGGGGTGAGCAGGCAGACTGCGAACGATTCGCGGAGGTCTTTGGGTGGGTGGCGAGCGAGGGGGGGCTGACGACTGTCGCGCAGAGGTGCCAGGTCCCAGACCGCGACCTGTGCGAAGAGGTCCCCGCGTTTCGCCAGGTCGCGTTGGTGGATCATGGGAGGGGTAGGGGTTGGAATTGTAGGGCTCCCATTGGTTGTGGCGGGTTCAAATGTGATTGATGCCGCGGTTCGATTTCCTCTCCAAGCCTGATTTCCCCCCACATTCAGATTCCTGGCAGGCCGACGAATTGCAGATGCGGCTCCAGTTTGTTGGTCTGGAAACTCGGCCCCCCGAACCAGGAGCTCCTCATCTGCTTCGAGTTCAGCATCCAATGCTCCCTCCGTTTCCGGGTTAAAACCAGGGTCACCCCCGTCACTCCCGTCATTCTCTGATTCACCATTCTCGTTGCTGCTAGCGGCTACCTCACCGCCTTCCACGCTCTCCCTTAGCAGTCTCTCAGCCGTCCTTGCGTACGCGCTCGCGCCTGTTCGCCGCCCGCCTCCCCTGGCTGTTCCGCCTCCCAGGCGTCCTCTTCTACTTCCGCGCCGACGGCCAGACGAGCCTCTCCCTGCGACGGAGCTGCGCCTTGCCGGCGTGCGGTTTTCGCCGACTTGTTCCTCCGCCAATCGTGGGTCTGGCGTCCTCGGCTCACGTCTCGGTCGTGATGGTGGGGTCCGCGGGTCGCGACCGCGCCTTTGAAGCAACCGCGGAGAGCGCTCAGCCTGTGGCTCAGCCGAACCCGGAGCCTGCACCTCCTCGTCCCCCATTCCAGGCCCATCCTGTTGCGTCGGCGCCTGTGAGCCGTCTGGAGCGTGGGTTGTCACTTCCGCTGCGGCGTCACGAATCTCCTGAGCAGTCCCGTGCTCCCTTGATCGTCGCGTCGAATGCTGAGCCGGCGCGTCAGCAGCGCGGAGGATCCCCGCAGCGTCGTGGGTCTCGGCCCTCATCCCCCGTGAATCGCGCTCCTGAGCCGTGGGAGTCGCGGCAGAGGTGGGACGAATACCAACGTAAACTTCAGCGCCGCGACCGCCGCTACCGCTCTCCGCAGAGGTCGCCGGAAAAGCGCTCCCCGCGGCAGCGGTCTCCCCGGCCATCGCTGCCACGCCGGGGCCGCGGTGTTCACGCGGGGCAGTGGGAATCTCGCCGGAAGGAGCCCTCCCCGCCTCGTCGTCCGTCGCCAGGATCTGGAGGTCGTCGGGGGCGGCGGAATGGTTCTCCGCGCGGCGGGGGAAGTCGCGCTCGGGGCTCCGCGGCTGACCGCGCGGCGAATATGGTGGCGGAGGCAGTGCGGCAGGCTCAAGCGGGGGGGGAAGCGGCTCACATCCATGTGTCTGTGACCGCTGAGCCCCCCACCAGCAACGCTGCGGCTGAAGCGGCTCCATTGCGCGCGCCGACTTTGCGCGAGTACCTGCCAGCAGCAGTGGCGAGGGGACCGTTCCGCGGGCGCCGCCAGGCCCCTGGCTACCCCGCTCCTCCGGGTTATCTTGGACAGGCTGCGGACCAGGTGGCGATGGTTCCGCCGCGCGGAATTCCGACTGCACCTCTCCCCACCCGCGCGGGGAGAGACCCCACGCTGAGCATGTGCCGGATGTGGAACTTGGCGGGGGCGGCTGAGGGGGTGGCGAGCTTGCAGCTGGCGGCGTGTAAGGCCATGCGTCACACACCGAGCAGTTTTGCTCAAGTGCCCCAAGGACAGTGCGTCTCTTGGGCAGCAGCGATTCTCCCCCTTTTATCGCCCGTGTCGGAAGCGCCCGCCGGGGTAGCGCCCTTAGCCCGTACCTTCCCCCGCCTCGCCCTTGATCTTCACGCTGCCGCTCAGAGCGGGCCCCCAGTTGACACTCTTCGCTTCTCGGCGGAGCTCCTCCACGCGATGGCAGGGTGTCTTCTCTCGTTGCTTGAGGCGGAGGGGGCTGGCCTGTACACGCAGTAGCGCGTCGCCGAGTGTAGAACTGCATGTTGCCTCCCGTAGGACTTGGTCTCCCAGCTTGCTTGGTGTGTGTGTGTTCCTTGTAGTCGAGAACTTGCGCTAGTGTCTTGCCACCAGAGACGCGCTGCCAAAGGCCGCCGGCGCGAGCCGCCGAAAATGGAACCACGACGAAATAATGAGAAGAAGCAAGCTAGGAAAGGCCTTAAATAGCCAGGAGGACAGAGGTGAGAGGGAGAAGGCAGAGGGCAGAGGGCTAAAGTCTCTCTCTCTCTCTCTCTCTCTCTCTCTCTCTCTCTCTCTCTCTCTCTCTCTCTCTCTCTCTCACACACACACACACACACACACCTGCGTGTGCACACACGCACACACACGCACACACAAACTCATGTACACACACATGCATACACACACGCATGCATGCACGCGCGCGCGCACACACACTCACGCGCACACGCATGTACGCACGCACGCACTCACACTCTCACACACATTGACTGCTCGCTGCCTCACGCTGCTGGCTCACCAGCACACATCGCGGATGGCGGTGGAGCAGAGGTTCCAGGAGGAGGCAGCCATGGCGTCGCTCGAGGCAAAGCGCCAGCGCAGCGCCACTGTGACGGCCGTCACGTTGGTGGCGACCCCGCAGTCCAGGGCGCACCCGAAGCGACCCACCGCTGGCACCTCCGTGGGGGGCGTGCACGTGCCGTCGCCACACTGCGGGTCCGTCCATACAGCCTGAGCAGGGTGAGAAGAACACGGAGAAGGGACCAGCCTGTTGATATTTTGGGTTGACTGGTGCGCACTTGGAGCAGCTGAATCGACCCAACCACTGTGTGGGCTCCGGGACAAATCAACAGAATGAATCTCTGAAAATATGAGCCTTTGACCACCTGATTGAAGCTGTCATTGTAAACACCTGCATCAAACTGTCCTTGGAACCACCTGAACGATGTTATTATCGTAATCACCTGAACATTTGGAATCACAATGATGCTATCACTGAAATCGCCTGAATATTGTAATCACCTGAATGTTGCTGTCGTCGGAATCACCTGAACCACACTGTTCTTGAAATCACCTGAATGATGCTGTCGTTGAGCCACGCGTAGAAAGCACTGCTGCTGGTGAAGGAGTAGCTCGAGTCCTTGGAGTAGTCCTGCCACACTCAAAGCACGCACACCATGCACGCCCACACACACCCAATCACACAACCCGCGCGCGCGTGCGCACGCGTGTGCGCAGAGAATCATGAGGTAACAATTGGAGGTCAGCGGCTGCGGTTGGAAGGGAGAAAGTGTGTGGTAGCAAGGGAGAGGAGAGCACGTGGTGTGATGTGCCAGCAAGTGGTTACATAGAGGGCGCATGATAGGGCAGCGGGGCAGGCAGAGGGGAGGCGGCCAAAGGCATACCGGAGGCAGCAGGACGTTGTGAGCGGTGGCCACCTGGTAGCTCTGGAAGGACTGCGCCTGGTGGGGTTGGGGGGGACGCATGACGCACAGAGACGAGCAAGCGAGCATGATGCGGGATACCAGGAGAGGCGGTGAGCCGTGACTAGGCATGAGCATAGGCCACGGCCGGCACCAGCACCCAGACCAACACCAGGACCAGGACCAGCAGGACCAGGGCCTGGGCTAGGGCCATAGCCAGGGCCAGGGCCCGGATCAACTAACCTCCTCATACGCCATTCCCAGCCAGCACGCATTTGGCAGGCACAATGAGAGTTGGGTGGGCCCGGGTGCCGTGACCGGGGCCAGCCGTTCTCACTGGTGATTTTAAAATATTACCACTGCAGTGCTGCTGTGACAGGCAGGCTTACTCCTTGCTGTGGAATATGATGGAGACCAGGCTAAGTCTGGTTTGGTCTCAATCACCCTAACATACTTCATATCCTCGGATACTGGGGCAAGATCCGCACTAAGCAAATATTCGACAATCGACTATGTGCAAGTAACATGTCGCATCAAATTTGAGTATGCGAGTATTTTGTCGAATAATGAATCACATTCGTTTACAGGCTTAGCGCGGCAGGGGGCGCATGCGAGTGGGTAAGGATGCGAGAGGAACAAGGAAGCATGCAAGCACAATAAACGGCATGGGCAGGCAAGGAGGAGGAGCGGACCTGAAGGCAGAGCATGAGGAGGAGCGGACCTGAAGGCAGAGCATGAGGAGGAGCGGACCTGAAGGCAGAGCATGAGGAGGAGCGGACCTGAAGGCAGAGCATGAGGAGGAGCGGACCTGAAGGCAGAGCATGAGGAGGAGCGGACCTGAAGGCAGAGCATGAGGAGGAGCGGACCTGAAGGCAGAGCATGAGGAGGAGCGGACCTGAAGGCAGAGCATGAGGAGGAGCGGACCTGAAGGCAGAGCATGAGGAGGAGCGGACCTGAAGGCAGAGCATGAGGAGGAGCGGACCTGAAGGCAGAGCATGAGGAGGAGCGGACCTGAAGGCAGAGCATGAGGAGGAGCGGACCTGAAGGCAGAGCATGAGGAGGAGCGGACCTGAAGGCAGAGCATGAGGAGGAGCGGACCTGAAGGCAGAGCATGAGGAGGAGCGGACCTGAAGGCAGAGCATGAGGAGGAGCGGACCTGAAGGCAGAGCATGAGGAGGAGCGGACCTGAAGGCAGAGCATGAGGAGGAGCGGACCTGAAGGCAGAGCATGAGGAGGAGCGGACCTGAAGGCAGAGCATGAGGAGGAGCGGACCTGAAGGCAGAGCATGAGGAGGAGCGGACCTGAAGGCAGAGCATGAGGAGGAGCGGACCTGAAGGCAGAGCATGAGGAGGAGCGGACCTGAAGGCAGAGCATGAGGAGGAGCGGACCTGAAGGCAGAGCATGAGGAGGAGCGGACCTGAAGGCAGAGCATGAGGAGGAGCGGACCTGAAGGCAGAGCATGAGGAGGAGCGGACCTGAAGGCAGAGCATGAGGAGGAGCGGACCTGAAGGCAGAGCATGAGGAGGAGCGGACCTGAAGGCAGAGCATGAGGAGGAGCGGACCTGAAGGCAGAGCATGAGGAGGAGCGGACCTGAAGGCAGAGCATGAGGAGGAGTGCACCTGAAGGCAGAGCATGAGGAGGTAGAGGGCGGTGAAGAGCGCGAAGGCGACGAGGCTCTTGTAATTGTGCAGCTGCGCCTGTGCCTCCACCACGCGCTCAAACACCGCTGCGGATGGGGCGTGAGGGGAGGGGGGGGGGAGAGGGTGAAAGGACAGGAGAGAAAGCCAAAGGAGGGCAAAGGGAGGGGAAGGGGTTGAGAGGACGGGGAGAGAAGGGCAAAGGGAGGGCAAAGGAATGTGGTGAGGGGGGGTGGGAGGGGAGGAGGGAGGGGGGGAGGGGGGGAGGGGGGAGGGAGGAAAGGGGGGGGGGGAAGGGGGGGTTTATGACGGGGAAATAGGATGCATATTTTTGCTTGATTGGTATGCCTGTGTTTGCGTCAGCCCATGTACCTCCCCTACTAATACAAGGACCGACCATTCGAGAGAGAGAGAGAGAGAGAGAGAGAGAGAGAGAGAGAGAGAGAGAGAGAGAGAGAGGAGAGAGAGAGAGAGAGAGAGAGAGAGAGAGAGAGAGAGAGAGAGAGAGAGAGAGAGAGAGAGAGAGAGAGAGAGAGAGAGAGAGAGAGAGAGAAACAGTTGAGCTCCCGAATCTGTCCACAAGGACCGTTGTAACGTAATGTAATGACCAGAGTGACCCGGCGTAGTTCCTCCTCCTCTCCAATAGCCCCAAATGACGATACGTTACATCTTGGCGAATTAGGAAGAACAAATATTCAGCCACTCAAAGAAACAAACGAGGAGACGATTAGGCGGCTTTGGTGGCGCACAGTACCCTGAATGACTTCCTTGTCCGCCCGCTTCACCTCCTCATCATCCAGCAGCGGCACCTCATCATCCACCCCTGCCGTCTTTCCTTCCTTTCCTCCACCCCCGCCACCTTCCTCTGCTGTATCAGCTCTTTTCCCCGGCACGCCTTTTTCCCTCCCGAGCGACCACCCCAGCTCTTTCCATCCCATTCTACTGTCCTAGGACCGCAGATCTGTGGTTGATGTGGAGGTGCTTTAAACGACCTTTACTTCTACTACTATAGGGGAAGAGAGGAGCGTGAAAAACTGTGCGACAAGATGATGTGTTGATCCCGCGGGGGCTGCGACAATGCGCGAAAGTCTGTGCGGGGTCCCTACTGCGTGTGAATCCTCTCTGCGATAGTTGTGTTGGGCCTGCCAGAACTCGGCGCGAGAGCGGGAAGAGCGTTGAGCAAGAATGCTCCCAACTTGGGTGGGGGTGGGGGGTTGGGCTGGAGGTGGGGAAGCACTATTTTCCAGTATGGTTTCCCCGGATTCTACTGATTAGTCGGTGGGTTTTGAGACATACACCGACCTGGCCCATTTGTTTCCACCATGGACATCGTGATCTCAGGTCACTATTTTGTATCTAGGGAGACAAACCAAATAGACTTGCGAAACGGGAAATAAACTACAGTACACTCCCTCTGAACTGTACTATTCTCTGTTCAAAAATTATCGAACCACACTAAGTTCTTGCTGAACTTCTGGGCTTCCCCGTAGTTCTAGGTCGCCGCTTTCCCCCCGGCATGGACGGAGATGACCATTCGCCATTCGACCAAGTGAGCCATTGCGATGCCTCGTTGTCAAGCCGCAGAGAATCGATTTTCTTAGGGCGTGGAACATTGGGCACGGATGTTTCTACGGGCAAATGGACATGCGATGCGAGGCGTTTTTCACACCTCGTACCTTCGTCTTGTAAAAACGCCCTGCAGGTTTGGCTGTAAGCAAAATCACAGGTTATAATTTACAGTAAGCACTGGCAGGTATCGATCTCACATAGCTTGAACCCGTAGTATTTTCACTGCAGCCGACAGAAACAAATGACCCGTAGAAACGGGATTACGTCTACCCCCGTTTCAGATAGATCGAGGGTGGTACCCCAATGTAGAGTGTAGCCCAACTCAACCGTTGACCTTTTGAGGCATTTCCACATGTACACTACAGTTCTTGTACCGTACAGTTTGATGAAACAGTAGATCCACAGGCATAAATGGACTGCAGACCTGACCTCTCGCTCCAACAAATGATGCCTGCCCACTAAACTGCCCGCACGTCCACGTCCCTTCCCCCGCAGTTTCTCCTTCCCATTTCAATCCGCGATGTACAGCCTTTACTAGCTATTGCCCTAGAAATGCACGAGGTGGCTATAAACTGGAAGGTGGTTTGGTTGTTTGGCGCTTTCGTCATGGTGGTCACCTCATGTAGGAAGTGCGACACCCTAATTACTCAAACGAACTCAACGCTTGGTTTTTCTGGTTTGGGGTGAGGCAAACTGAGGTTCGGATGAATCGCTAAAGCTCGTTGATGGCGAAAACGATTCGTTTGTTCTTGCAGCATTATGAGCAAACAAGGTATGTTTGTAAATGCCTTACACCCGAATGGAAATATGCAGCTACGACTTGGAAAAATCCACTCCTTAACTCCTTCTATCCCCTCCATCTATTGCTATCGACCCTACTAACAACCTGACCGGAAATTAATTTACCGAAGTTCGACTCATGCCTACGGTCCTTCGTGTCCCCTCCTTCCCATACCCACTTCATTACATGTACCATTGAGCATATATAGGAAGAAAAAAAAAACTTGCACTTTTGAATGAGTCTGTCATAACAAAAAAAAACTCATACTTTCACAACATATATACCATAAATAGCCAAAGAATGTTGATAAGAATGCGCTCATTCCACTTATATAATCACTATATTGTTGAATGACTATTATAGATGCGAACCGAATGCAAGTAGCTTGTGCGTAACCGATCATTTTTTTTTTTTTTACTGTGTTTTGCACCGGTCCATGGAATAGTTTCCTCTCTTGCAACACAATATGTCTCAACCCCGTGACATTTTAACGCATCATCCTGTAGTTGAAAATTTGAAATTTGCACCTTTCGGAGCTACTTCCACAACTGTGTTGGCTGCGCCTAATGAGGCACCACATCTCGGATTGTCAGGAATTTGCAAACTGGGAGTTTGTCTTTTTACGGCTCTGTAATTCTCATGCAAAAATGCTAGCCGCCCCTATTCAATCCTACGGACAAGAACGCTATATTTAAGGGGTGGCTCTTTAGTGTGTAAGTTTTCTTTATTGCAGCAAACGTCAACAACGATGCCACGCGTATTGCTTTTGCGAGGCACATTGCTTGAGTGGTGGCGACAAACCTTGGGCACGGGGGAACTCAACAGGTGTGATACATAGGGCATATGTAACTTCAGACTCCGCTAACAGAAGGGCATTATCGATAATCTGTATGACCATAATTAGCACGTGGAATGAGTGGGGAGCAACCTTACGATAGCACTTCAAGCATGTATTTGCCTCGGAACATGCTCACATAAATGTTAAACTGTATTATGCTTGTAGGCTGTAGTGGGGTAGCCAATATGGGGTACAACCCCAACTAGGGTTTCATATTTGTACCCAAACTTCTGCTAGTTCATTCATTCTTGCCTAGTTATCTTGAGATGGTATTCAGAGCAGGAGGTCCCTAGGACCTACCGACCGTTTTTTTTTAAGGGCCCACCACCGCTCGCATGCGGTTACCACGCTACCCCGTACCCTAGCCTCGTAGCGCCCTCGTGCGCCCTCGTTAGCGCCCTCGCGCGCCCCTCGTTAGCGCCCTCGCGCGCACCCTCGTTAGCGCCCTCGCGCGCCCCTCGTTAGCGCCCTCGCGCGCCCCTTGCTAGCGCCCTCGCGCGCCCCTCACTAGCGCCCTCGCGCGCCCCTCGCAGTGTCGCCCGCCCGCCGAGCCGCCCGCTCGCAGCCCGCTCGTCCCGCTGCCCGCTTCGCAGCCCGCCCGCCCGCTCGCTGCCCGCTTCGCGGCCCGCCCGCTTCGCAGCCCGCTCGCCCCGCTGCCCGCTTCGCAGCCCGCCCGCCCGCTCGCTGCCCGCTTCGCGGCCCGCCCGCTTCGCAGCCCGCTCGCTCGCTGCCCGCTTCGCGGCCCGCCCACTTCGCAGCCCGCCCGCCCGCTCGCTGCCCGCTTCGCGGCCCGCCCGCTTCGCAGCCCGCTCGCCCCGCTGCCCGCTTCGCAGCCCGCCCGCCCGCTCGCTGCCCGCTTCGCGGCCCGCCCGCTTCGCTGCCCGCTCGCAGCGCCGCCCGCCCGCCCGCTACCTGCTTCGCAGCGCCGCCCGCTGCCTCACTGCCCGCTTGCTGCGTCGCCCGCCCGCCCCGCTGCCCGCTTCGCAGCCCGCCCGCCGCGCTTCTCGCCTGCTGCTCCCTGCCTGTGCACCGCCGCTTGCTCCTGCTGTGGCTGCTAGCTTCGCTCTAGCGCGTCCCCTCTGCTGCTGCCGCTGCTCTGCTGTGCCCTCACGCCTGAGCTATGGCCTCTATTCGCGTTCTTTCCTTCGATGCTGAGGGCCGTCCCGTGCAGTTCACTTCCTGGCTCGACGACCTGCAGTTGTATCTTATGAGCAATAGCACGGACCACATCTCCCTCTATGACTACGCGTCTGGTGCTGCCGCTGCTCCTGCTGCCACAGCCGAGCTTAGTGTTCGTTCCCACTGGCAGACTCGTGACGCAGCTGCTCGCCTAGCCATTCGCAGTCACCTGCCGCTAGCTGAGCTCGAGCATTTTGGCGACTGCAAATCCGCTAAGGCCCTGTACGATGCTGTCGTTGCTCGCTACTCCTCGCCTGCCACAGCCGAGCTTAGCCGCCTCATGCTGCCGTACCTGTTCCCCGATCTGTCCACCTTTACTACAGTCGCCGATCTTATCACCCACCTTCGCACTAGTGATGCTCGCCTGCGTGCCGCCCTTCCCACCGAGTTCTGCGCTAAGAACCCCCCTCCACTGTACTGGACACTCCACTTCATAGTCACCCGTCTCCCTGACACCCTCCGCTCAGTTCGAGACCACTTCCTTGCTCGCTGTCCCACTGAGCTCACAGTCGCCCTCCTAGAGGAGCAGCTGCTCGCGGCCGAAAAGAGCATTGTAGCTGTCGGTGCTGCTCGTGGCGCTCCTCGCACCCCCATCTTTGAGGGGTGTTCTCCCTCTCCCCTCGCTCCCTCCTACGCTGCTGCTGCTGCTGTTGACTTCCTTGGTGCTGAGTCTGTTGGCGCTGCTTCTGCTCCTGGTGGGAGGCGCCGCACCGGCAAGGGCAAGGGGGGCAAGGGTGGTGGTGGTGGCGCTGGGGGGGGAGGAGGTGGGGGAGGTGGGGGGGGAGGCGGTGCTGGAGGGAGCGGTGGCGGGAGCGCTGGTGGGAGTGGGGTCGGTGGTGGAGGCGGGGGCGGCGGAGGAAGCAGTGGCAGTAGTGGCGGCGGCGGCGGTGGCGGCGGTGGCGGTGGTGGCGGTGGTGGCGGTGGCGGTCGGAGCGGTGGTAGTGGTGGCGGCGGAGGTCGGAGTGGAGGCACTGGCTCGGGCCAGAGCTCCCAGCAGCAGCAGCGTCCCCAGACGACCCAGCAGCTTCGTGAGTGGCTTGCTCAGCGTGGGACGTCGGGGGGCAGTGGCCGCTGTTCTTATGTCATTCGCACAGGTGACCGCAAGGGACAGACGTGTGGGAGGTTCCACACCCCGTACCGCTGCTTCTCCCGCCTTGACGACGCTTGGCGTGAGGAGATGGGTGCGGATGTTGAGCGCCCCCGCTGGGCTGAGCTCATGAGGGCTGGTGTTGATGTCTTTGCTCTTGACTATGATGCTATTATTGCTGCCATGTATGCATTGACTGTTAGTGCCGAGGGAGACTGTTACTTGTGTGTGCCGCCTGACCCAGGTATAGAGCCCGCTGCCTTGGGTACTAGTGAGTCTGCTCTCTCTGGTATGGTGCCCCCTGTACTTGCTCCCTCCAGTACTGTCCCGGCTGGTTTCGAGTCTGCTCTCTCAGGTACAGCACCCACAGAGACTGCTCTCTCAGGTACCGCACCGGCTGAGGCCTGTCACACCTTCACCCTTGACTCAGGTGCTTCCCGTTGCTTCTTTCGTGACAGTACTGAGCTCACACCGCTTCCTGCACCGGTCCCAGTCTCCTTGGCTGACCCCTCTGGGGGCCCAGTCCTTGCCCAGTCCACCACTGTCCTCCCTTGTCCGGCGGTTCCGTCTGGCTCGTTGTCGGGTTTCCACCTCCCCTCGTTCTCGACGAACCTGGTGAGCAACGCTGTCCTCCAGGATCAGTGGGTTGACACCTTTACCCCTGGAGGACAGCGTGTGGCGATCTGCACGTGCTCCAGGACCGGCCGTCACCTGGCTACGTTTACCCGTCGGCCGGGGTCGAGTCTCTACACACTGACCACTGCGTCTCCTCAGGTCGCTGCTGTCGGTCAGGTGTCTGCGTCAGGTCTGGTAGCCCACGCCTGTGAGTGTCGTTCCCTGTCGCACCAGACTCTTCTCTGGCACCACCGCCTGGGTCACCCCTCCTTGCCACGCCTTCGTGGCATGCACCGTCGCCACCTTGTGTCTGGTCTTCCCAGGTCCCTCCCTCCCCTCCCTGCCTCGCCTGCGCCGCCTTGCCTTCCTTGCGTCGAGGGGCGGCAGCGCGCCGCTCCTCACTCCTCCTCGTTCCCCCCGACAGAGGCTCCTCTGCAGACCCTCCACCTGGACGTGTGGGGCCCAGCCCGCGTTCGTGGTCAGGGCGGT